TTGGTTCCAATGTTTTTTCGTATGCACTTCTGACACTTGTGTTTTTTCAGACGCCGATCTTTCATCGAATCTGAAAGTGCTCAGGAGACTCTGGTGCTGCCTCACCATCTGGAGGTGCTCTCGAAAGAGTCTTTGCCGTTACCAAGGTGCTTTTGGGGAGCTGGTTGGTTCCGGTGCTGCTTGGGCCAGAGATTGTTGGGACTTGGGTGGAGCCCAATCGCAGGTTGGAACAACTAGATGTGGGCCTCTTTGAAGATATTGGAGCTGAAACAGTGTATTTTTTTGAGTTGATCGAAAGTTGCTGATAGGTGATCAGATGAAGAAGGATTCTATTCAGCATAGGTGGCTATCCCTCGGACATCAAACAGTTGTTTTCCATTTTTCCACATAATCTGTTCATCATTGATGAAGGAAGCCTCAGATGCGAAAGACATGGCGCTAGTTGCATGGTGCTCACTGGCTACATTTTAGTCTTGTCTTTATGGAGATGTTTTATATTTTTCGTTCGCGCCAATCATGCCCGCCAGCTTGTTCTTGGCTCCTGATGCTGGTCACGATCACCCAGATTGAGGGAACAGGGGTGAAGGGGTGCAATTCGGGACTAGGAGCAAGGACGCTACTAGTAGCTCCTGGCATCGCTACTAGTAACAAGAAACTACTAGTCAGTAACAAGGTGCATCGTTACTAGGAGCAAGGACGCGGCTGTTTTTTTGGCTGATCATCGGCGCACCTTTTTTTGACCGGCTGAACACGCCAGCAGTGATTGATTGAAGGAAGAGTTGAGTGGTGATTCTTTAGATGGGACTTTCTAGGGAGATTCGTCGATCCTTTTTCCAATGGCTCAAAAATGGCTTTCGTTTGATGAGAGCGGAGACTTCAATGTCTAGTGAAGGTCACCAGAGATGGACATGCGTGTCCGCCACAAAACGGCATGCTGCAAAAAGATCCACGGCACGCTTTGTGGTCGACCCGACACACCCAGTCGCTTTGTGGTCCAACCAGTCGCTTGCCTGAAACAACCTCCCATGGGTTTCCGCACTCACCAGGCTGTTGTCTCGGGTCACGGGTGCGAAGACCCGGGTGCACCACCTCGTCTAAGTGGTGCGAAGACCCGGTGGCGGATCCCCGAGGCTTGAAGTCTTGTACGTCACGATCTTCTTTAACGCGTCACTGGGTGGGAAGGGTGTGCGGGCATGACATGGGTGTGCGGGTCGAGCGTGTGCGACCGGATGACAGGACTGGGGTGGGAATGGATGGATGGATGGTTGGATGGATGGATGGCACCAGCATCCTGGTGGACTAGATGTCAAGTTTTTTAAACCAGATGCCCCATGGATCCCATGGATTAGACATAAGAATGCATAAGTAGTGCCTATTGAAACAAGTTTCATTACAATTCTTGAAGTGTTTCACGTTGAAGAATCAGCATTTGGAAGGTGTTAAACCTAGCTCTGTTGAGTGATCTGCTTCTTTCATGGTGTAGTCAGCCTTTCCAGTTCTGCCAACAGCGAACGTCTTCACCTTCTGATCACTCGACATCGCGATGGACGGAATGAAAAGCTCAAACCACCCAAAGAAGAAACGCCAAGGGATGTTTTTTCCGAAGGACCGCACCTCTCTTTCCAAGGCTCAGGCTCCTGCAGTAGCTTCTCTTCAGAGACCGACGTTGAGGGGCCGCTTGGACGTTGAGTAGCTTCTCTTCGGCCCCGGTGGGACGTCCCGAGCAGGTCCGGAGTGCGACTCACCGACGGAGGATCGATCGATCAGCAACGACAGACGGATCTCCTAAGAGACGGATATCGATCGGTGAGAGCTCATGCGGAGCTCCGCAGATGTTTGGGTGGTCTCGTGAGCGTGAGGATGCGGCACCAGAAATGCCAACACAACCAACAGTCCTTGGTCTTGTCCTCAAGGCCAACAACTCCCAACTGACCGGTTGATTCAGAAGAACAACGCCATCCAAAGAGGTACAGTGAACGAAACCTTTCAGTTATCCAAACAAGCAGTTTTCAAAGCAAGCCCCAGCAGTGAAACAAAGCAATTCTTCGTCCCTTTCCGCTCTCCATTCTCTTCCACGTCTTCGTCACTTGTTCAACGAGGCTCAGTGTCGACCTGCCCGACCAGGCCGATGAGCGCAGGTAGAAACCACTTGGAAGGTCGCAGTATGGAGTATGGGTGGCGCGTATGGGTGGCGCGTATGGCTCAAAGTCTTAAAGTATGACTCAGGGAAATCTTCATCACCATAGTTTTTCCGTGTTTCCAGCAGATTTGCATCACAAGCAGACAGATTCGCAAACACTGCAGGTGGTGCTGCAGACCAGTGGGCTCTTCCGCAGCCCAGAGGTGGCGGACGTTTTGGCACGTCTGGTGCGAATAGAGACATGTAGTAAGGTGGATGATGCAGGTATAAACGGAACATGCACATCATATGCACATCTTTTTGCATGGTTTTGACTTGTACACTTACATCCCTAACGATCATGTGCCTAGCACATGCAAGACTTCAGATGCTGAAGAAATTGGACTCGTTGCGAGTCATTGGTCACGAGGAGTCGCCCAAATCCCGGCGATTGCAGTGGCTTCCTTTGGAGTCGCTCGTTCAGCATCGAACGTGCGTTACGTTGGGGCGTTTCGTCTGTGGCGTTCCGACGCCTTTTCTTCGGTCACCGTGCGGGTCCACAGACCGGGCGCTGTGGACCGGGTGGTTTGGCACCAAAACGAAAACCACGCTCAGTGGTGATCAGGACCAGTGATGTTGATCACGAACTTCACGAAGAATCACTTGCACGAGACCGACGCCCGGATTCCGAGACCCACATGGAACCTGAAAACCCGTAAGCGTGGAGGAAGTGATTGTTCTTCTTAAGATGGGTCCATGCCATCAGGTTCCATGTGGGTCTCGGAATTCGGGCGTGCTCGGATTCCAGGTTTCTTCCTCGGTTTCTCCGCCGATGTCGTTCGGCTCGTTCGCATGACTGAGGTCCTTTCGAGGTCGCATCCTTTTGGACGAGGCCCACATGGGTCACAAGCATCGTCCTGGGGCAGAGCGCCCGGTCCGAACGGTGGGGCCATGGTGTCGGTACCTGCTCGGCCCATCGAAGCAATCACATACTGCATCAGAAAGCGATGTGCATGGAGAGTGGTGCTCCTTGGAGACGGTGATCTTAATTCGGGACTTCAAGAGACTCAGCCGACTGCAGCGTTCTCGGCTCCAAGGAATCATGGATCACAGTTCTCAGGATCTGGTTGAGTTCTGAGGTGACCACGAACACCGGAGGCCTCTGGCCTCGCCTCGCCCCCCCCCAAAACCGTCTGGATTTTCGAGCGCTTCTTCAGACCGATCCAGATCGAAGGCCAACGCGAATGGACGACCCGAGGTGGCGAGGTCCAACGTGAAAACACTTCGCCCTGCGAGATCCGCCGCGCGCCGCGCGCCGCGCGCGCCGCGGAGCCCGCGATGGACGCCCTCTTCGCGTGGTTCCAGGGCCTGGGCTCCGAGGCCTCGCCGCTGCAGGTGCACGAGGTGGCGCCGGCGACGGCCGCGGGCGCTGCAGGTGCTGGCGCGGAGGGTGCTGCGTGCCTTGAGCGCAGAGGATGCTGAAGATGGAAAGAAACGCTGGGAACGAGGTGAAGAGGTGAAAAAGAGGTGGAAGGTGCATCGTGGTAGCCTTTGGTCCTCGGGAGAAACGATGAGAAACGTCCGTTTCGATCTCTGGGAAGTCGGGTGAGAACTTGGGTGTGTGAGATACTGGAAAATATCCATGACACTGGGCCCTGTTGCTGGAAACCTCAGGATCAAGATGATTCCAGCATTGAGCGACAACTACATGCAGCTTGGCCCAAACCTTTTGGTTGCTTCGCAACATGCTGCAAACCTTGCGATGCCTTCAGCTTTACTCTCCCGTAGATTTAAGTCAGGTGTGAGCCAGGTCATCGACCAAGGTTTTCGGAAAGGGATGACACCGATGACACCTTTTTAGTGAGCAACGCACGAATCGGCGCAGAACCGCGCACGAAAATCGCACGACGCCCTCGCAGGTATTTGATCGTGAACAACGCCACGAAGCAGGCTGTGGCGGTGGACCCCGTGGACAGCAAGAAGATGCTGGACTGTTGCACGATGTTGTCAGTGGCTTGACGTATTGCTGCGGTGCGTCCAGGGCCTGTAAGACTTCGGCGTGGCAGGAGTGGCAGGAGCTGGTTTTGCACCAGCTGCACCCACGAATGTTTTTTTGAATGCAGCTAAGCGGACTGTTTGCAGCAACTCAGGTTGATCTGGTGGCGGTGCTCACGACGCACTACCACTCGGACCATTCAGGTCTGAATGTGTTTTCGGTGGAAGCCTTTCTTGGCAGAAGCCTTGAATCCTTCGACACAAAAAATGACTTGACACGTCAGACGGCTGTCTCTCGGGGTTTTCTAGGAAACTCGATGAAACGGACGAGGCAAACCAGCTCCTCTCGCGCACGGGTTTTGGGACACGTATATAACTTGGGACGCGGAACTGGTGGAAGGCGAACGGGTGCGAACCCACCGACTTGGGTGCGAACCCACCGACTTCGGTGAAGGCGGCAATGCGGCGCTGGCAGCTGCTCTGCCCAGCCTCGAGGTCGTCGCCGGGGAGAAGGATGCGGAGCCGTGGCAGACGTGAAGATGAAGATGAAGCACCTATAAATCCTATTCTGAAACTGATTCGTTCAACTGGGAACAAGAAGCTATTAGGGGCTCCTGGCATCCCCTAGACTTCCAAGACCATCAGAAAAATGGTAAAATCCTTAGTTGATTCGGGGTCACCCGCCTATGAAAGTCATACACAGTGGGCCTACTGTGGCTTCCTACAAATCGCAACCCCGAACGGAGCGTCGCGATCGGACGCTCAGGATCGCACCCCCGCGGTGACGCGGCGCGTGGCCGACGAGGAACGCTGCCACTGGGCAGGTGTCCGGGGCTGTCGCTTCTTTCCTTGCTCACTCGTAGCGATGCCCGGAGGTTCTGTTTGTAGTGAACCTTGCTCCTGGTAGAAGATCGAACAGGGGCACCGTTTTCTTCACCTCCGTGAGCAAACATCACCACCTCTGCGGCACTTGCTTTATGCAAATCGAACCATGGATGTGGGCTAGATTGCAAAGCGTAGATGGCTGGGTGATGCTGCGTGCAGATCATGGGGGATTCGAAGGTTTTGATGCCAAGACCACATTCTTTGGCGATCCACCTGCCCACCCGTAGGGCTCCAATTCCGCTGCCTGGCCACGCCGTGCCACACTCGCGGCCACATCTCCTACCTGCTGGAAGGGCAGGCCAGCGTTTTTAACAGAAAAGACACCACACTTGTGGATATGTCACTTCCAAAGATGCTGTTTCCAGACAGGATTTTGTTGTTGTGATATCTTCTTGAACAGAGTCTGCCCAACAAAGGAGGCACGGAAGCAGGGCCAGAAAACCGTTTTCCGTCCGTTTTTCTGTCGAGTTTGGATTGGATTGCCTCGCACACGCGTCGCGCCACGCGCACCGCACGCGGGGTCCACGCCGCGGTCCACGTGGTCCACGCGGCAGTCGCCGGGGCTGTTCTGTGGAGACACCTTGTTCGTGGCCGGCTGTGGCCGCTTTATGGAAGGCACGAGCGCTGCTTGGGCGAAAGAGAGGGCCACGGTTAGGACGTTTTCGGTGCCGTCATGGGAAACTGGTGGGGTGCTTTTTGGGATGAATGTGGATGAGATTCAGAAACTCTCAATTCTACACTGGATTTGGTGCATTTGAAGCTTGCACAATTGAAGGACAATACCCTGCACCACGCAAGATCTTCTTCGATTCTCTGTTTTCACCACCTATTGGAGAGGTGGAGACACCCAAAGGGTTCAAGGTGTACTGAGCAGAGTTGAAAGCAGATTCTCTGACATCCGCCCGCAACCTCAAGGCTTGGCTTCAAAATGAGAGGGATTTTGACATCCAAAGAGAGGAGGAAGGATGCTGTGAGATCCATGTATACAACCGATTTTCTAATTTGTCCAGGTTGAAAAAAACGATTCAACGAGTCTCGGGCTGTTGGATCATCGGTCATCGGACTCATCACCTGCCGTTGCGCGCTGTCCCCCGGTGCGCCGGTGCGACTGGCAAGATAGGACCACCTCGCCGGTGCGAGCGGGTTTCTTCTTTGGATGATGCCACGCCACTGACGGACGTGTTGAAACCGGAATCCACAGGTCCGGTCCCAGTGTTTCGAGCGACTCAAATCAGCTGGTGGGATGATGGGCTTCTCCACTGACTCTTACTCAAGTGAGTTGAAATCACCAAACCAGGTCAGTTCCGTTCAACTCAGTTGAGGCCACCATGAAGGCGAGCCTTTCGAAGTTCCTGACGCTCCCCGAGACCACGCGGATCTTCTGCGGACACGAGTATACGGTTGCTGGGCGAACTCGCCAGTAACACTGGGTTTCTTTGTTGCTGTTCTTAGTGGGGAATGTTGCCCTCCTCTTCTATATTTCTTGCATCTAATTGCTTGTTTCTTTTGCGGGTCAAGTCTTTCTGTTACATGAAGCACCTTGGTTTGATCCATGTGACGACTTGACTTCATTGGTTTTCTTGGATTCTCATTCGAACACCAGAACGAGTGCTTCTCACGCTGTGCTCCTCCCTCATGAGGTGGGAAACCTTGAGTATGCCCTGTCCCTGGAGCCTTCCAACACTTTGCTGAAGGAACGTCTCCAGGAGGCTTGTGAAAAGCGACGGCAGCAGCTCCCCACAATACCCTCAACCTTGGCGGAGGCGCGGCACACGACGGCTGTGGCGGGCGGTTCATGTGGGGGTTCACGTGGTGTTTCGACCGCGGGTTGGCCAGAAAGCCCTTGGGCGAAGGAAGCAGAAGTTTTTGAGTCCAGACATTCTTTTGGCCTTTTGTCACATTTTGTTCCTGAGACTGCTGAGTGTTCGAGTGGGAAGAACACATTCTGAGTATCCTTCTCCGCCCTCCTCTATGTTGTTGGAGATTATTAACTCTGGGGTGTCTTGCTCCCCAAATGGTTCAACAGCACGCTTTTTTTTGTGTGAAGGACCTTTTCTTTTCTTATTTCTTTGTACCCTTTTCTCTAGACTCTTCTTTCTGCCGTCCTTTCGTTCGTTCGTTTTTGCAAGATCTCTTTTCAGAAGCTTCCAACCCAGTTCGAACGATGCACTCAACGAACTCCAGCCTGCGAGAAAGGTCCACTTCCTTGGTCGATCGGGGGCTTCCTCGGTCGTGCAAGAGAATTGACCATGTGTGAGTAAATGAAGAATGGGAAGAACGCCATCTTGTGCCATTTTGCACAAGAATTCACCAGTCCGTTCACTTGCTTGATAACTCGGCAACCCTCTTTCAGAACTCCCCGACTTCTCCACTGACTTTCGACTGTCCGATTCTGCAGCCGTGCCAGTGAGCAACAGGAGCTCCAGCAGAATCCCTTCCTCCGTGCAGCCCAGAAGGGCTGCAGCGACGAAGAGATGAGCCAGTTGCGGCGGGGCGGCTGGGCTCGAGGTCATTTGTGTGTGTGTGTGTGTGTGTGTCACCCTTGGAGTCATAGGGATTCTTTTGAATTGTTTTCTTTTACCATGAGCAGGGGGGCACAGGAGGCCCATAGAGCTGTGCCCAACGAAGCTCTCTATGGTGACCTCAGGATATGCAGCCTGATCAGCTGCACGTACCTGCTGAATTTTAACATTTGCCGAGTTAGCTTCTGCAGTCACGCACGCAACGTCGTCATCTCGCCCTGTTCGTCGTCTTCGACCTTACGCTTTTGGCCTCACTTCCTCTTACAGACCCCCAGGCTCCGATGGTCCCTTCTGGTTTTCTTAGGAAATGGAACCCTAGGCCGGCGTGTGGCACCGCAATCAAGTCAGTACGCATATCCATGAGTGTGTTTGGCTTCGTGCCAACCCGGGATGAGCCCGCAGAGTGCCTCCCGTGGACCCGTCGAACGGGTGTACGTCGCTGTTTCCCTTGCTCTGGAAACGTAAGTGCCCACAGCGGGCGAAGGTGGCCTAGGCCGAGAGAACTCCGATTTGTCTCATTTTAGGAATTCCAAGCTGGCTCATGCCCTTACGTGACCGCAGCGGTCAGAGGTGGCAGCCTTCGGGCAAGCCGTACGTGGTCGCAGCGACCAAAGGCTGTTCAAGGTTCATTGGAACCTGTCGCGAGCTTAGTCCCCCCCTCCTCCCCCTTCCCTTCCCCTTTCTTTCTTTGCTTTCTGGGGTTTTCCTGAATGAAATAGTCAGGATCACCCCTCTCTTTCTTTGGTGTGTCCCTGGACGATTGTTCGTAGCTGGGAACACCTTCCTTTCTCTCCTCTCTCTCTCCCTCTCTCTTTCTTTCCTTCTCTCTTCCCTCTCTTTTCCCTCTTCCTTGGGTGTCCCTGGATGCTTTCGTCATAGCTGGGAACCCTTTTCCTCTCCTCCTTTGGTGTGTCCCTGGACGCTTGTGTCGTAGCTGGGAACACCTTCCTCCCCTTTCCTTTCTTCTCTTTCTTTTTCTCTTCTCTCCCTACCCCTCCCTCCTGTCAGGACCTTAGTGTGGGTTGCTACTAGGGGCTCCTGGCCTTCTTACTAGGACGCTACTTTGGTGCTTCTAGGGGTTCCTGGCCTTACTACTAGGCGCAGAGGTGCCTCCCCTCGGGGAGGCGTGTGTGTGTGCCCCTTGTAGTCACAGGGATTCTTTTGAATTGTTTTCTTTTACCATGAGGGGGGCACAGGAGGCCCATAGAGCTGTGCCAACGAAGCTCTCTATGGTGACCTCAGGATATGCAGCCTGATCAGCTGCACGTACCTGCTGAATTTTAACATTTGCCGAGTTAGCTTCTGCAGTCACGCACGTAACGTCGTCATCTCGCCCTGTTCGTCGTCTTCGACCTTACGCTTTTGGCCTCACTTCCTCTTACAGACCCCCAGGCTCCGATGGTCCCTTCTGGTTTTCTTAGGAAATGGAACCCTAGGCCGGCGTGTGGCACCGCAATCAAGTCAGTACGCATATCCATGAGTGTGTGTATGTGTGTGTGTAATGCTTGGAATCAAAGGGAACCTTTAGGTTTGGAACAGGCGGCGTGACGGTCGATTTCCTAGTCACGCCAATGAAGCTATGGAAATCGACTGGATGGAAGTTTGGACGCAAACTTACCTGTTCCACTATTTAGGAAAACAGGAGGAAATGGTAGCCTTTCCTTCTGTTTTCCTCCAGACTACTCTACAGGTTTGCAGGTAGGCCTCCCCACTTTGTAAGGGGTTCTTTAACCTGAACTTTGGCCTCTACCCACTAGATTGGCCCCCAACCTTGCTGTCTTGTGCTTCTTGTGCTTTTTGTGCTTCTTGTAACCTTGTATTTGTAACCTGGTAGCACTGGCCTCCAACTTGGTACCCTGGCCTCCAACCTACTAGCGATGACCTCCAACTTCGCTTCTTGCTGTCACTTTGTGTCTATGGTCCACCACCTACTAGCGATGGCCTCCAAACTTAGGTTTTGTCCCCCAACAGCCTTGCGTTGACCTCCAACCCAAAACCGATGGCCTTTAAACGCCTTTAACCTACTATTTCCTGACACCTCAGACCTTTTAAGTAACTTAGGCTGGCGTGTGGCACCGCTGTCAAGTCAGTACGCATATCCATAAGTGTGTCTGGCCTTGCGCCAGTCCGGGATGAGCCCGTAGAGTGCCTCCCGTGGACCCGTCGAACGGGTGTCTGTCGTTATCTACCCTGCCCGGAGATGTACGTGCCCAGAGCGGGCGAAGGTGGCCTAGGCCGAAAGAACTCAGATTTTTGTCTCATCTTTGGAATTCCAAGTTGGCTCATGCCTTCACGTGACCGCAGCGGTCAGAGGTGGCAGCCTTCGGGCAAGCCGTACGTGGTCGCAGCGACCAAAGTTTGTTCAAGGCTCATTGGAGTCTGTCCAGAACTTAGCCCCCCCTTCTCCCCCTTCCCTCCCCCGTTCTCTCTTTGCTTTCTGGAGCTTTCCTGAATGAAATAGTCAGGATCACCCCTCTCTTTCTTTGGTGTGTCCCTGGACGCTTGTTCGTAGCTGGGAACACCTGCCTTTTCCTTTTCTCTCCTCTCCCTTTCTCTCCCTCTCTCTTCAAACCGATGACAGTCCAAACCTCATCAAAAAACCTGTTGCAGAAGCCTAGTTTGCTTGTAAACACGCCGCACGGGAGGAAAGAGGGGGGGAGGGGGAGGAAGAAAAGAGAGGGAAAGAACGAAGGAAACAAAAGGTGCTCCCAGCTACGACACAAGCGTCCAAGGACACACCAAAAAGGGAGGGCTCCCAGCTATGACCAAAGCATCCAGGGACACCCAAGGAAGAAGGAAGGTGAAGAGAGGAAAGAAAGAAAGAAAGAAAGAAAGAAAGAATCCCCGTTCATTTGGTTCCCCTTTCATCGGCCCCCACAGACGTTTTTCCTTCTTTTCTTTCATGTCTTTCTGTCTTCGTGTCTCTTCATCCTCATCCTTTCTTTCTCTTGCGCGTACTATCGTCCGGACCTTAGTTTGCACACATACACGCACGCGTACTCTACTTACAACGAGGTTTAGGTGGCCCAGGTTTGTTACAATGAGGTTTGGTTCATCGGTTGTCCCTCTTCACTTGGTTCTTCTTCGTCGGCAACAACACACACCTTTGTCTGTTTCGGTCTTTTCATTTTCATCTGTCCCTTTTGCGTTGTGCGCTTTTGACGTGCGTGTTGGTGTTTTACGTTTGTTTTGTTTTCCGCATTTTCCCACCAAGGCAAGGACACCTTCACCACACTGGGGACGGTGATTACTTGGGTCTTAGATGTGAAGAGCTTCTTCAAGCCGGACGGTTGAGCCGCCGCGCCGGGCGGTTCGGACGGTTGAGGAGCAGGTGCAAAAAAAGGGTCCGGGGTACCAAAGGTCCAGATTTCTTCGTTGGAGACCGGATGTCTGGAATATATATATATATATATGTGAGAGAGAGAGAGAATTACGTTGGCAGAAGACAGTTTTTCGATCGTTGAAGGCACCCTTTCGATGCACCTGCCTTTCGGAACGGCTTCGATGAAAGGCTTCGGTTTCGAGCCGTGGATGCGCACAAGACGCAGAGAAAAGGATGCGTTGAGTGGAGAGGGGGGACTGGTTCTGAGTCATTCGAGCTTGGTGTGGTGACAGGGTTCATCAAGCTCTTCAGGGTCTTTCACATACCCGGTGTAGTCGGCCGCGCTGCCGTGGGGAATTGGTTTTTCCACGCGCATTCTCATCACACCGGCGGTATCAACTGTCGTAAGAATCGAAGAGGCACCAATTCCGCAGCTCGCTGTTCCAGGCTCGGCTGCAGCTCTTGCGCCCGGAGCTGCCGATCAAATGCCGCTGGGGTCGCCCAGTTTTATGCTTCAGGAAGCAAATTTGCCCCGTAAGCAACGAGGTGAGGCCAAGATCCAAGGTCCTGGAGAAATTGCTCTTATCAATTGGAGCAGCCATGTCCCATGCGAAGTTATTTTTTTGTATCTTTTTGGGGTATAGTATAGCGCTTTTTATTCCTGGGTTATTCCTGGGAATTCTGTGAAGGTGTTTTTGGTTCCGGTCATGTTGTGCGCTGGCTGGTTGCTGGTGGTTTGTTGATATGGCCAGCAAGGCGTTCTGCAGCCGCAACCTCTTCAAGCACATCGCAATGGAGGAGACATGTTCAACTGGTATGACTTCGCCCGACCAAAAAGGTTGATATGGCTTGACGTGGTTGAGAAAGGTTCAAGGAAGATGGGATAGGGAAACGAACCGGGGCCTGCTCCCGAGGTCGGCGAGACCACTGTGAGGGCTCTGAATGGGACAAAAGAAGAACAGATGCTTGGAACTGACCAGAAGAAGATCAAAATAAAAAGAGCTCTCCGCAGGGAACCCTGTATACAAACCCGTCCACCACTCGTAGCCCACAAGGCGCCCATGATGGCATGAGCAGGTGGCCAAGACATTGCCCCATGGTCAAAATGGTGAAGGCGCCAGGTGTGCCGCGTGAGCCCTGGCGGCGTCCGCCTTGTACGTCGCGGAAGCTCGGACTGGTGGCAAACTCACGGCAATTTTTGCCGTTCGCATTCATTGCAAGTTGAGGTATCAGAATTGTCACCCGATTCATAGCCTGTTCCTTCCTGAATGCAAGATTGAGGGCTGATGGAAGGGATGCAGCTTGTGTGAACTGCGCCTCAACAACCCTGAAGAAGACCTACAGTGAGTGCGTTCAAAGAGCTCTGCCCATGAAGCCACTCCGATCCCAGCAGTGCCGCGCGTGGAGCTCACTGTGAATGTCAACATCGTGATGACCCAGAAGCGCAGGGGTCATCTGGCTCCGCTATAGCTTGTCCTCGTCAATGCCGACTACAACCACGAAGTACTCAGCCCTTGAGCCGACGTTGGCCCAGGATGGAAGTCAGTGTGTTGGCGCGTTTCGCAATTCCAACATTCCTGCCTCCGGGTGATTCAGCTGCAAATGCCCAACCTGTCCACCTATATACACTGTGCCGTGACTGGCAACATCCCAGAGTCCGGAGTCCCAGCACCAGGACACCCGCGTCAGCAGGGACATCCGCGTTAATTTTGAATTCATGAACCAGGCCTATGAGAGTGGAAAGATGGCTGAAATCGGCCAGGTGACACGGCGGCGTGGATGAATCCTGTTCACGAGTCAGACTGGTCGCAAACGATGGGCAAGCGAAGACGAACACGACGAGGAAGATGGACAGCTGCAGATCCCAACCCCTTCGGTGATCCGGAGAAGGTGATCCGGTTCGAAGGTTCGGTGATATCAGGTTTTCAACTTACGACCAGTGGTTTTTCGATTGTGCCTAGTCTGGCTGTGCTTTGAAGCTCTCCCACCCCAGCTCTTGAGAGTACGTGAGTTTCTCACACGCGACCATGTGCATTTCCTTTCCTGCAGTTGTCCACCAAAAGGTAACCCACAAGTTTAATACTTGTAAATGATAGAGTATGATAGAGTCTTCGAGATCAAGGAACCTCCGAAAATTATGTCTTTGCATGGTACTTTGCCTCTTGACCCATTGCTGGGCTGGATGTCCTGCAGCATTTGTTGCTCACATTTCCTCAAGAGTTGCAACTAACTAGCCGCGGGGAGCATGAGGCGCCTCCAGCGTCACTTTGCCATCGCCTCGTTTTTTAAATCTCGCTTGACATGTCAGGAAAGCGCTTGTTATTTTTTACTTTTCTTTCTAAGCGTTTTGCTTTCCATGCAGGTCTGAATCGTGGCTGTTCATTGCTCAGCTTGCCTTGGTGAGCGCCACTTTGACCAGCACTTGTTTGCCGGACGCTGTGGCTGTGGATCAGCGGCGCAACCTGACGAACATCGCAGGGGAGTCCTACCCCGTGGGGGTGGGGGTGTTTACATGGGCCAGCGCAGGGCTGACCAGTGCAATGATCGAGATTCTCACCGAAGAAGTCTTGGGATACAACACCCGAAGCTGAGTTGCATTGGACGATGGATTCTTATGACGGTGAGCCGGTTTGGTGTGTGTGTGCCCCTTGTAGTCACAGGGATTCTTTTGAATTGTTTTCTTTTACCATGAGGGGGGCACAGGAGGCCCATACAGCTGTGCCCAACGAAGCTCTCTATGGTGACCTCAGGATATGCAGCCTGATCAGCTGCGGGTACCTGTTTGAACTATTGAAAAGCTTTGACTCCAATTTCTAGTAAAGTGCTAATGGGCTTGGCAGACATGAGCGTACGACGTCATCTCGACCTGCTCGTCGCTTTCGGTCTTGAGCTTTTGGCCCTTTCTCCTTTTGAAGACCTCCAGGCTCCATAGGGTTCTCCTGGACTTTTTAGGATTTGGTTTCTTAGGCTGGCGTGTGGCGTGTGGCATTCAGTTCCGTACGCCCAATCATAAGTGTGTCTCTCCTAGTCAGAGCCCGGGATGAGCCCCTAGAGTGCCTCGCGCGCCCAGAGCGGGCGTAGGAGGCGTATGCCAAAGTTATTTGCCAAGACTTGCTGAAGTATTGAATTCCAAGCTGGCTCATGCCTTTACGTGACAGCAGCGGTCAAAGCAGCCAGCCATTATGGCACGGCGTACGTGGCCGTAGCGGCCCAAGTTCGTTTAGACTCATGGAGTCTGTCGCGACCTTAGCCCCCTTCCTCCTCCCCTCCCCTCCTCTCTCTCCTCCATTTTTTGTCCTCTTGGGGTGTTCCTGAATGTAATACTTTTCTCCTTCCTTTCCTTTCCCTCCTTCTTGTTTGGGTGCTCTCCCTACCCCTCCCTCCCGTCGGGACCTTAGAGTAAGATGCTACTAGGGGCTCCTGGCCTTACTACTAGGTGCAAGGACGCTACTTTGACGCTACTAGGGGTTCCTGGCCTTACTACTAGGCGCAAGGACGCTCTAGGGCAGAGATGCCGTTTTGGGGAGGCGTGTGTGTGTGTGCCCCTTGTAGTCACAGGGATTCTTTTGAATTGTTTTCATTCACCATGAGCAGGGGGGCACAGGAGGCCCATACAGCTGTGCCCAATGAAGCTCTCTATGGTGACCTCAGGATACGCAGCCTGATCAGCTGCACGTACCTGCTGTTTGAACTTTTGAACAAGCTTTGACTCCATTTTCTAGTAAAGTGCTAATGAGCTTGGCAGACATGAGCGTACGACGTCATCTCGACCTGCTCGTCGCTTTCGGTCTTGAGCTTTTGGCCGTTTCTCCTTTTGAAGACCTCCAGGCTCCATAGGGTTCTCCTGGACTTTTCAGGATTTGGTTTCTTAGGCTGGCGTGTGGCTGTGGCATTCAGTTCCGTACACCCAATCATAAGTGTGCACACGCAGGTTTTCTCAGATTGGACTGTCAGGAGTGGAGCCAACGCCGATGTCATCCAGCGTGCAGGGGATGTATGGCGCTCTCGGGTGTGTCACATGGTACGATGCCGATGACCGTGGTTGTGACAACCGCAACTTTGCTCGCTATTTTCATTCGCTTCATGCCGTTTAGTTTATAGCAACATTTGAATGACATTTGTGGCGTTTGTGTTACATAGTCACATAGTGGCCTATTTGTTTGAGTTCGCAGGTAAAGTGCGCATTCACATGGTGATGGACAGTTGGTGGTTAACCTTTCCCAACATCATTGCTACCCTCACCGAGCAATATCAGGCTGCGTAGTATAGCTTTGTTGTATGGCGGACGCTTCACGCTGATCATGAGAGGAACTCCCGAGCCGTAATGCGTGTTATTTCTTTTTGCGGACCCGTCGCGGCAGCACAGGGTGAGATGCCCGTCTCGGGAGGAAGCATGGGCTATAGAGGTGCCTCGCTCTCACACTTGCCACGGGAAGCAGCTTCATGCATTGCTTGTGTGAGTTTTGCTCAAAAGTAGGAAAATGCTCAACACCTGCGACGTCCAAAATGTTGGTGTCCAAACTGATGATTCACTAAGGTGGTTCTGGCATGTACGTGCCCCGAAACGTTTTGGACACTGGAGCAGCGGAGGGAGCTGCTATGGAGTACTACAAAAGCTACAATGCAAGTGTCCTGGCCGAGTTGGAGAGGGCCAACGACAATCTGCCTCAGTGGGTTGAAGCAAGCGTGGGGCAGCTTCGGGGATGCAATTTCTGTAGAAATTGTGCCCCAACTTAGAAGGCATCAAGGGGTGTGGCTGTGTAGCTCCTTTTGGCGATGTGGCGGTTTTCTTCTCAGTGACACAACGCACCAGTTGGGGCATTGAAGCTGCGAGCAGCTTCATAGGTGCAAACCCGGAGAACGCCGTTTCTTCCCTGCACGCTCCTTCACACCAGGAAGGCATCAGTACACCGTTTCCTCCTGGATTTAGTATATCCCAGCCCCCATGAGTCCGTTTGTTGGGTTTCCCAGCCGCTTGTGCGCAATGCGGGGGATCGCAGTGCTAAGATTTGCACACTTGTTGAAGAGTCTTCTGGTGATTTCAGCAGGCTGGCATCAACCTTGGAAGTACTTCGACAATGTGACCGTCCTCAATACCAGTGCGGAGTTTATGCCATGCGCCGCCACTACAATGTCGCTCAACTCAACCGCCTACAACTATTGGAAAATGAGTGGCGACGATGCGGGGGTGGCTTGAGGCTTAGTCCTTAGTCGAATTCCAGGAGTGCAACTTCTGTTTCAAGGTTCAAGGTTCACGGTTCAGTTTTGTGCGAACCTAGCCAAACACACTCTTTCCACAACAGGTCATCACAGGAAACACGTATACGGCCTTTTGCCCAGACGGCTACACTTGGATGGCTCCTTCTTGCAGGCGACGGCTTCGGTGACCTGGGATGTACAGGTACAGATAGGTACAGTATATATAAGTGTAGCACTTCGTTAATCATGGAAGACTTCTTTCTTGTTCTGCACACCCTTGTTTTGCCCCGACTTGCTCCACATCAAACATATCGCTGTAATTCGCTGTACTGCGTTGGCAAAACCCAGCCAGACCCAGCCTTCTATGTTTGGCGGTCGCGAAGTGAGACGAGTGGGTCTGGGGAAGGGAAAGGCTCTTGTCCCACCGGCAGAGGGGTGGGGATGATGGCACCTCGCCTCCGTTCATTGAGCTAGCTTGTTTTGGATTTCTCATGTCACAAAGTTAGTTTGTTGGGAAAGCAGGTTGCAGTTGGGCCATTCATGAATGAAACGGAAGCGCTGAAGTACATGTATCGGGTTCCGAATTCAACTCTAACATGCTTGTCAAATCAAAAAGCGTCGGATGAGGCGCAATACCGCACCTCACTATGATACACATGACTTGGCAACACCTACAGTGCCCAATGCTACCAGCTACTGTGTACACACCCACAAACATGGTGGTAGCGGCAGTGCCTTTGTTTTTTAAAGTCATATATTTCTTTTGCACCGTCTCATTTGTTTCCAACGTTTTTGGTGTTTCTGCATCGAGTATGTTGTTTTTGAAGAGGTCCAAAGGTTACTCGGAAGGTCTGTTTTTAGGTGTTGCACTACAGCTTTGAAGACATGGGGTCCAACAGAGCCCGCATGCTACCAGAACGCACAGCGCGCAAGCAAGAAACATGTCAAACGCACAGCGCCTTACGGGCGCTGCGCCAGAAATATGGACAGCAAAGCCATTTTCCAACTAGGAGCAAAGGGCATCGCCATTAGGAGCAAGGACGCTACTAGGGGCTCCTGGCCTTACTACTAGGGCACGAAGCTATTAGGTTCCTTTTTGCTACTAGGAGCAAGGATCATTTCCAAACTCTTGTCACAGCAGGCCATATTCGTTTGAAGAGATCAACGCCTCACTGCGAGACTTAGTCAATCCACACAGACGGGGGGGGGGGCGACAGGCCAGCCCCCATACCTTAACAGATTTTTCAGCCCGGCCAGCCATTCAGGTTGAACTAAACTTGTTCCAAAGCCAAGCGGCTGAATGTGTTTGTATGTTGTTTTTTTTTTTTTTGTTTAGTTCAGTTGTGCTTTGACATTATACATGTTTGCTCCTGAATGATTCATGCACACGTGCATGATTAATGAAAGTAGACTTCACATCAAGCTGCCTTGACCTAAAAACAATCACTGCTCTGATTTTTTGACCCGGCGTGCAGGAGCAATCCTTTGACATGCATCATGTTCATCACGGGCGGCGATGGTTGGGATGTGTCACAAGGCCAGGCCCAGAACATGCTGTCAGGGGTCTCGGTGACATGCCTTGACATATGTATACACTTGGTTATACTTGTATATACTGTAAAAACATATAAGCACAATATATAGTAGTATTTTTTGGACTTCCTACGACGGTATCGTGAGGGCAAAGGTACCGAAACTGTCCATGACTAGCATGTGCAGACTTTGCGCGAGGTTTGCAGCGAAGCGCAGTCTTCAACATTCCCTTGATGATTGGAGTTGCAAATTCTTGGGCCAATTATTTGGCCCTCCCGCCGCAGTACAAAGCCTTGATCCTTGGCTTTGCTTCATTATTCTCTACTGTTGCCTTGAAGTGACCAACCTGCAACATGACTAATGTCAACATAGAATTAACCAACCCCCCTCAAGCCCAGCTGGAGCCAAGCCCAGCTGCCCCAGAAAAACAATTAATATAGTTTACTATTGTATTTATAATTCTTTTTGTTTACTTTCTTTTTTGCTAGTATTCAATATTTTCTGGTCATGGCGAAACTGATCTTCTGATCCACCTTGTCTCATGCCATCTCTTTGAGAGATAGCATTTCCATCCTTCCCTGTTAAAGCACAAAAAAATCACTAGCAAAATCCTGTCATTTTCATCTTAAGGTTTTCAAGCTCACAAAGGGTACCCCTCACACAGGCCCGCCATCCCTCCCTCTAAAGCCGACCCTCTGTCCTCCATCTTGTGTTCAATCTCTTTCATCCTGCAATCCTCTTTCTTTTCCTAATCATCCCAATCAACCATCATCAGGTCCAGGTCCTCATCTCATCATCCAAAAACTCACATCATCATCTCTTTTTTAGGGAATGTGGTTTCCAATCCCTCCAACCCCAAACATTATTGACCTTGTTGACCTTGAAGGGGGGGGGGTTGATTAATCCTACGTCGACATTAGTCAAAACATTGGCTGATGGTCCGCAAAGACAGGGGTAAGACAAAGACGCACACCAGCGCAACCGGAGCGTTTCACACATGGGCAACGCATCTTTGAACTCCTGACTCTTGCAGGCATGCTGCAGTTTACGCAAAGAGACAAGTGGACTGACGGTGAGCTATGCCAGGGATCACTGCATGTCATGCCAGGGATGACAGAAAGACATCATGTCGTGCCAGGGATGACATCATGTCATGCCAGGGATGTCATCAGCGATGACATCATGTCTTGCCAGGGATGACATCATGTCAGGCCAGGGATGACATCATGCGTGGCAGGGACGATATCCTCTCACATTGTTTCCGGCAAATTGATGCGTATGTTGCCTTGTGGTATGCATCGATTACATGGTGTCATGCCAGGGACAAAGTCATGTCACGCCACAGGCGACATGCTGTCGTGTTGCGTATGACAGCGTGTTGTGCAACAATGATTGTATTGTCGTCCGGGCAGCTTCGGTTGGTCCTTGCCAATCTTGCAGTTTTACGTTTGATAGATGTTGCGCAGTATGTTGCACATATTGGTGGACTGGTCTGATGTTATGTGCTGCGGTGACAACCGTCCGTGGCGTGTTCTTTAAACCTATACATCCGCTATCTGGGGTCTATGCGGGTGTAATTTTAAAGGCCCTGTTCGGATGAGCACACATCTGGAAAGCAGGTGATTCCCAATCTTCAAGCGAATCGTTTCTTGACTGCTCCGTTCCCAGTGACTTCAGCGTGCCGTCTTAGACAGGTCAGAAATGTGGAACAACAACTTGGGCAAACGTGCAAAATCTGAGCGCGAAATGCAGCAGGGAATTTCAGTGACCGCAGCCGAGTGGTGCCGAATGCATAGGAACGCGCCTGCTAACCACCTCAGCATTCATTGTTGTGTCATGTTGCTTGAGGTTGAAGCCAGGGGTCGAAAGCCGTGTTTTTTTTGTTCATCGGTGAGCCAAGGCTGTATTGGTGGACGCCAGACAACTCATTCTTGGAGCTGGACCCGAAGCCATTTGTTTTGCCGCCCCAGGACAAATTCGCCTACAGCCAAGGAGATGTCACGACGGCGTCCGAAAATGTTGATATCGCCAAGGTCATCAGTTTCGACTTGGACTTCATGGCGCCCAACTTGGTGAAATTGTTGGCCCAGAGCCAGTTCCGAGGCTGCAGTGTGCAAGACAAAGGGCCAAACACCAAGCTTTGATGTGTATAAGAATGCAGTGAAAAGTCGGGTGGGGGTGGGGCATGTTCTCAGGATTTCATTGGATGAGATCAATGACATGATGCGCACATGGAAGGCCAATTCTTCCGCTTCGCGGCACGAGGTGGCCTGTGACTGGCTGCAGAAGAACGAGAACACGAAGTTGGATCCCCGATCCGACCGTTTGCAACCGAGGCCTGGAAGAAGTTACTCAAAAACTTGGAAACGATGCGCAAAAACATCACAAGGATGACCAGTTTGTCCCCCAAATGGCTGTTGTTCATGGGGGGTTCTTCATTGCAACAGGTTTCCCCGAGTGAAAAGAATGACCTTGCAGAGGCTCTGGGCTTTATAGTGAGGAGACTGGACAGTTCACAGCGACACGAGCAGCCGCTGATTCCTGCCGAGCTTGTTCACCGGGCATGTACTCTACTCCACTGCAAGACAATGTGGGGAACACCTATGTGTTTCTTGGATGAGCCACAACAGCCACCACACAACATATTTAAAAACACCGGGGCAACCGACCACATTTTGCGTCGCCTGTTTGGGACCGACCGGGTACGGGTCGGGTACCCCAGACTGGTGCGAGGTGTCAGGCGTGCCCTGCTGGAACTCAGCAACTATCAGCTGGAGCAGTGGAATGCGATGCGTGTCCCAGTGGCACTTTCAAAGCTGATCAGTCAGTTGATGAGTGTGCTCCATGCGCCCTGGCAGAAGTAAAGGTTTCTGATTTCGGTTGAACGTAGTGGGCAACCTGTGACCCGACGGCCACCTGCCTGAGGCCTTTCAGGCTACTACCAAGATGAGCTCGGGACGCTGGCCTGCAAGAAATGCCCGGAGGGCACGACGACTCTGCTTTTGGGCACCAAGTCAGGATCGGGTCAGTTCAGTTGCAAGGCATGCTGAGATGCAATGCATCCAAACCTCAAGAATCTAAGGCAAGAGGCAAGGAAATCTTGTGCCATTTGTATTCATATTGGAGTGTAGGGGTGGATTGCCTTCCTTTTCAAGTCCTGCAGGACTTGCTTGCGGCTGCGACGAGGGCAGCATCGACGTTTCAGGCGACTCTTGATTGCCGGCAGCGCCATTGAGAGATCAAAACATGTTGGGCTCAGTGGTGCGCTTGGCAAAGGGCAAAGCTTTTCGATCGTTTGGTCAAACCCGCTGATACTCATTTTCGAGTGCGGTGCCAAGGATTTGTCCACGCCTGCCCTGTGTCAGCCATGTATGGAGGGGCTTACATGCCCAACTATGTCAAGCCTGGAGAACTTGAAAGCAGGTTCTAGCCCATTGGGCCCGACAACTGTTCCGCAGGCAGGATTGATTTCAGTCAGATGTTGCAGTCTATCGGGACAACAGACGACAACTGATGTGCTACGCCAGCTATGCCGTTTATGCTGCTGTCGGGCTCACCCGTGTGAACAGCTGAGTGTTCTGATTACATGTGCGTTTGTGTTGTGCTTTCCATAGATTGAATGGCTATGCCTGGCAGGTTGAAGCGGGCTATTTCACCACAGCTGCCGATCCATTGGTCACCTTCAAGTGTGTCAATACCTTGGATTGTCCTGGAGGCACGCCCGGCACTTGCGGCGGAGCCCTAGAGGGAGTCCCTTGCGGAGATTGCCCTCAAGGTACATTCTATGCCGGCGAGGCTTCCTGTGATGAGTGCTCAGCGGGCGCCGTGATTGCTTGGATCGTTTCTTTGGGCGTGGTCCTCCTTGGCCTGATTGGGGCCTACCATTTCCTGAACTCCCCAGTCACCGCAAAGGCATCCACGCTTTTCAGCACGACATGTGCGATTGGAATGATGATCAACCTGTTGCAGAACTTGGGAATCATTGGAACCATGTCAGTGCCTTGACAGCGCCTTGACAGCGCCAGGTTTTTGTTGCGGATCTTAAGCATGTGCTGCCCGGAGAAAACATGTAAAGTGGTGCTTCCTTGTTGCGCCCAAAGCTACAAACTTGTCTTGAGCAAAAAGCCTGTGTAGTCTTACCTCAGGGTTTGAGCAATCCGCCTCATTGTGACTGTGCATTGCGCATGTGGGATCATTCAAGGAATTTGCACCAAAACTGCAAATCTCAAATCCCCAACAGCCAGGTGCCTTGGCCTGTGGATTTGGCCGGCTTCTTCAGCTTCATGGAAGTCTTCACCTTCGACATTGATAGCCTGGCTTTCGCTTGCATCGGTGGCGCGCAGCCGGTGTGGCGCTACATCTTCACGGTGTGCTTCTTCCCTGTGGGCATCCTGTGGTTGGCCCTCTGTGGTGCAGTGAGTCGATGCATTCCCAGGCTGCAAAGCTGGGATCCGGCCACATGGCGGCGAATTCGGGTTGACCATGACAGGTGGTTCCAAGGTGGTTTAAAGAGAACCTTTAACTTTCGCAGGCCACTTTAAGAAAGCCTAGCATATGCTCTGAATTCTTACAGCTTGGCATGCTTAGGTGAAAGTACGGAGCACCATTGGTCAATTTCTGCAAGTGGGGTTTTCAACCATGAGCAGCACCGCTTTGGTGCCTTTGGTTTGCTATTCGCATCCCAGCGGACAACGAAGCAACTTCAAGAACCCCAACATCATTTGTGGCTCCGAGCCGCACACGGTGATGGTGATCTTTGGCAGCCTGCTGCTGGCGTTTGGCTTCCTGAAAGCACTGAAGAGATCTGAAGAGTTCGTGAGAATCTCTGCAGCCCCTGCCCATGACCCCCTCCATTAACCTGGGTCTAGGCCTAGTGTGGTTCAAATATGGTCCTACCAAGGCCTACTGGTAGGCAGGTTGCGCTGGGCGGCGGCGATTGGGACCATGATGATAATTGGGATTTCTTAAGCTAAGCAGGTCATTTCGTCGTGTGTGTGCGCGCGCACCTTAGCAGGGGGCTCGTGGACGGATAGATGAGAAGGCGTGAGCCAACGATGACCCATCTATGTCGTCGTCGAAACGCACCTGCGTTTGACCGGTCCTTGAGTTTTGGAGACCTGAGACTTACCTGTGTTCCAGGATGTTGGAACACTGCTGCGGGTCCCTTCCGTACGTACCCTGAGTCTCTTTTTGTAGTAAATTTACAGGCATTGATTTTACGTAATTTTTGTTGCTTATACTAAGGACAACTTACGTAAAATTTTAAGCAAATAGTAAAGTAAATAGCAAAGTCCTCTTTAATATACAAAGTAGTTTTTAGTATGCAAAGTAAAATTTGGAAAGTATGTAAAACAACGGTTTTTGATGACGTGCTTTACGCTTTGGCTTCGATTATTGGATGGTTGAGGTTTATTACACGTGTGATTTTTGGAATCTAAGCGATTTTTGCTGCGAAGTGTATGCGCTTCAACACTCATGGTTGGCAGTTCTGCCTAGCAAGGCGGCAATCAGTCTGAACCTCCGCAGAAGGCGCAATACAACGCCCCAGTCCACCGTGGGAACAACACGCAGAGGAGGCGGAGCAACAGCAGGGCCCCCATGCGCCCCAATAGTTGTGCACTTGCCATGCCGTAGATGCCCACTAGGTTCACCCACCATTCATGATTCAGTTGGGCCACTTGGAACCTCCAGTCTGACGGGTCTCCTCCTCTTCGGCTCGGTCCAAGCCATGAATAGTGATCTTCCGGGTCGCAAGACGGGCCTCCCCTCCACGCAATGTGTGTTTCAGCTGAAAGAATCCAACCTCCCGGCACCCACAGGGCGGAATTTTCAGGAACGTATCATTTTCTTGGGCGTCCGGCTTGCGCTTGATTCGCCCTTGCTCCAACGGTCACAGGACACTTGGCACTTCCGCACATCCCTATGGAGCAGGTGGTTTTGCGGCCTCCACTACTCTTAGTCCAGACAGCACTGAGATTTCAGCCAACTGCAAGGTGTGAAGATCACTGGCATGACACTGTCAAACACTGACTGTGTGACCTCCATCAAGAAGCACTGAATTCACTGGCGTGGTCTTAGGAGTAGTCACTCACTGCTCTCCAGACTTCAGACTGTGAAATTTAAAGCTGACGAAAGCTATGTCACTGATGCTCACTATGGCATGAACACTTGCACTGGGCCTGGAAACGGGTGACTTTCAACTCTCTCAAGACAGGCACTGTAGACTGGGTAGAGACTGTGTTGTGTGGATGCAGTGCACTGATGAACACTGACACAAGAAGGGGTGTTAAAGGACACTCTCACTGATGGCTATGGTCACTATGCCACTGTCTCACTGTACACTTTGGATCAAGGCCTCACGCGCTAGCTGGACACTGGAGCCATACACTGCGCCCAAAAAGCCTCGACTGATCACCTTGTGAACTGTGGAACTTGAGACTTTTTGACACTACGAGATTGAGCCCTTGAATTTTTGAGTTGTTGTTTTCTGTTGTCTTGATCTATTTGCACTGGCTATGCTTAGAGGGGGGCTTAAAGGATATCAACTTGCCTGCCTGCTTGGTTGCCTCTGTGGCGGGCAGACAAGCGACGCCTTGACAAAAGAGGGGGAAGAGGTATGAAAACAGGCCGAGACGAGCTCCATTGTGGATCACTGTGGATCTCAAAATTCAAAAAATGGCCTCTGCGGCCACTTGCGCCGCTATGGACTATGGACTGTTGATGTCCTATGGGCTGCCCAAAGTTCAGTATGACAACTTAGCCGGCGACAACACTTGACGAGGCTCCTGTCGTCCGCCATGGAAGTGCTTCACTACTGTCACGGTGACAAACCGCAACCACCGGTTTTGCCGGTCCACGGGGGGCACTCTGCGCTCTTGGCCCGGGCCCTCATCCGACAGACACACTTGAAGTAAATACGTCGTACACTGAGTCTCTTTTGTAGTAAGTTTAATCTTTCATTGATTTTGTAAACTAAGAAATTTAGTTTAGTTGGCTACTAAATTTCCAACCAGCAAGAAAACAACATAGAAACAGCATAGAAACAGCATAGAAGCTGCGTAGCAACTTTTCCACACATTTTTCAAAGCGTGCATCAACCTTGTACAAAAACATTTTAGTGAGCTGCAATCATTTCATATTCAGTCACTCGTAGTGGGATTTCTCACATGTCCCTTCAAAGGTCTCTCACAACTCAAGTACTCGAAATACAAATTCCCCATAAGGACTTGAGCCAACTGTTTGAACCAGGACTTTGACACACAAGTCATTCACAAGGATCTGTGACAACTTTCATCACAACAGTACTTCGCACAAGAAGTGGCTCATGGGAAGTGGCTGGAGTGGCTGGAGTTTGTGTCTGATGGGGAGGCCGCATCCAGGAGGTCAGACCAGGAGGATGAGCGTCAGCAGACAGACCACGAGGAGGAGAAGATGGACAAGGAGGACAGGAAGCGCAGCATTGGCTCGTCTGAAGATGAGAAGGAGGAACCTCAGAATAAGAAGCGCGTGGTGAAAGAGATGGAAAGATGGTGAAGGAGTGAAAGTGTCAGTCAATCATATTTGTTGTGTTTATGTACAAGATTTCAACTATGTTGCAACCCAGGCTTTAGTTCTAAGTGCATGGATGAATACTTCCAAACCCATAGAATTGCAAAACCTTGTATCCTCCAGCATGAAGATGCAGAGACATCACCTGCACAGGCACTAGACCTGCAGGATGAAAATGCGCTACCTGTGCCAGGGTGGTTGACGTTATACTTTTGAGTTTGTACTCATTATGGAAATCTCTTTTGGCGTGAGCTGTGCTTGAGAAACCTCTGTGATGCTTGAGTTTTACATCACATGCGCAAATGTAATTGAGAAGCTTTACTTGAGCAGCCTGATACTTGAGTTTTACATGTGAAGATGCACTTGAAGTACTTGGGTCTCCAGGGTCTCAAATAAAGGAAACTGTTCACAAGTAAGGTCACAAAGTCTCAAAATACAGGAAACTGTTCACAAGTAAGCCTCAAATATGCTCAGGTAGTCTGGCAAGCAGATCTCATGTATTGTTTCACCCCCTGCAAAACTTACACTTCCAAACTTCTCAAGTAAGCACGGGCCCTCAAAGTACAGGAACTTTACAGAGTTTCCTCCACTTCTCGCTGGAGACCCTTTGAGTTGGTGCACTTCTCGCCTTCTTGCGGAGATCAATACCTGGCTGGGATTCGTCGCCCACGCCCAGCAGTTCTGCGAGGCCAGATGGCGGAACGCATCAAGGTCAGGGCATTCCCATCCTGGACCAACCTTCCCATCACTAGCAAGGCCATTGAGAATGCTATGGGCAGCGTTCAATGGGCAACGCTGCTGGGCCTGGAACTTCGAACAATAATTTCCCAAGGACGGGAACTGCCAGAAACGCATTGCGCCTTTGGAACTCTTGGGCTCTTCTCCTGTGCCATCATCTACTGCGCCAACAAGGAGAGATTCCAGGGCGCCTCCGCCTACCGGTTGGCAGCGACAACTCCAGCAACGTCTTCAGTCTTCAGCCTTTTGAGCCTGTCTTCTAAGAAGCCTCACACGGCGGTGATTCTGATGGAGCTGGTGCTGCTGCTGCACTGGGAGGGGTGTAGTGTGGCCCCGAAGCCACATACCTCGAGAATATAACGCCCGGCGGATGAACTTACCCATACCTGATACAAAATGTTCTGTAGATCCCTTTGGAGCTTGGTTGGGAGATTTTTGAGTTTGAGTACATGTGAGCAAAAAGTGTCAGTTGCGGTCCGCAGTCGAATTCTCAAGACAGTCTCTAACTTAGTTCAATCAGCTGTAAAGTAGTCAAGCAGTCATGCAGTGTTCAGTAGCTCCTTTGAACAGTGTCCTACAAAACAGTATGCGTGCAAATGTCTTAGTGAGGGGATCGGTGCATTTTATTGTAGTATGTTCTTTCTTCAGTTGGAGAGCGCCACGCGCAACTAAGGCCTGCGCGCGCAAAAGCGAAGTTCAACATGTAGTTTTGTTTTATTTCTGGAACCAAACCGTGATGTCATGCTTCTCTATTCCTGGTCCGGTTTCAACATTTTGTTTCTTCCTTCTGCCTCTCGCCCGTGGCGCGAGCCAGCGAAAACAGATCGCTGTAGTTGCGGAGATGTGGCTGCGTTGATCTGAGTCTGGGAGGCAGCTGGAGGTCTCAAGCTCTTGGCCCCTGCAACAACAACAATTCCCCGTGCCATTGCAACGGTTGTGTTCGCCGGACACGCGATTGGACGGAGGAATGAAATTTTGGAAACCTGAGACTTGGATGTGCTTGCTTCATAACATATGTTGCCGGACGTTCGAGCACTACTGCGTGTCTTGCGCGTGTTCTGCTCAGGCTTTTAGGGCTAGGAGCGGCTAGGATTCTTCAAGTGGTGGCCTGATGCTTTCCGCGCTTCGGTTCACGGTTGCTCCACTTCAAGTAAGAAACACTGAGGCGTTTGCGGGTTTTTGGCTCTTTGCGCATGGTTGGCGTACATGTGCCCAACTTTCAGCAGTACAGGGCGTTATGGCATGATCCAGAGCTCACGATTTCTCCTTGGCCGTTTCCGTCTCGATGTTTGGTGGTATGGCGTGCCCCTTCTCTTGCGTGGACTCTTGGCGCTGAGAGAGACACCGTGGTCGCGGCGGTGTGTGTGTGGTTGGGTGAGGTGTTCTCGGATAGGGGGAGAATCGCAGTTTGTTCTTCGTGTGTGCGTGCCAAGACAATGTTGAAAAGATTTCTCCCCAATCGTACGTGTGGAGTTGGTTGTACGGAGGTGGAAAGTGTATGTGTAGCATCGTGAGTTTTTTCCTCACGCGTGCTTGGCATCCATGTCGGATTTGGCGATTCACACATTTGAGAGGGCATAACGGTGTAGCGGTGTAGCTGAACCCGTTCACTGACTGGTGGTATGTTGACAGGCGAAAAAGACGCGCTGAGGTCTTAACTGGTAAGCCATCCATGGCTTGGTGTGACACAGAGCTGTCAGGTATTTGGTGACAAGTGGCTAGGCTTCATGCTTCATGTTGGCCCTCGCAAGTATATATGAGTTGTAGATATTCAGGAAATGGCCAGAACCCTAATTAAAGGTACAAGAGTTTGGACAGGACAAGTCCCATTGACACTGCCACGTGAACAGCTTTGCTTGGCTCTGACAGGTCCGCTGTTGGCCATGAGTGCAGTGATCTTCCCAGATTCGGCGGCAATTCAAATCTTCTGCTGCCAAATTATTCTGATCTTCTACATTTGTGTTCAGGTTGGATTGAGATTTGCCACCTTGTTTTTGCCCGCTGCACGTTTATGAGCGCCCGCTGCCGACGCCACGTGTAGGACTTTTTTTTGTGGTTGCCCCTGAGGTGTACAGTTGGCCATGGAAAGCTCCTATGTTGAACATCGTGGACTTTGTTACCTGTTTGGCCTTGGCAATCTTGGTGGTGTTGACCGGCCTCTATGTGCCTGAAGTCACTGGCGACACACTCCGTGCAGTGCAGACCTGCAGCATGATCTTGTTGGGCATCATCTTTGGAGTGGTTGGCCTGATGATTCTCTTGGCAATTGCGGCCTTGTTCCACCGTGCTGCGATCGGTAGCCAGCAGGATTGACACTTCAGAATTGGATGCAAATTCATTGGTTGTCAGGTTTCTTTTTCAGAGTGGTGATGGTGATCCGGAAGTCGCTATCCAGCCGCGTGATTCGTGATTCGTTTCGTGGCTCGTGATGCGTTATTCGGCCGCGTGATTCGTGATTCGTGCCGTGAAATGGTATTTTTGCATGGCCCTGCGTCTATATGCCCCACGGTTTGGAGTACATTTGTGGTACGGAAACACATTTATGATGCATTTCATGTTTTGCGCTGTGATTCACGAGATCAGCCATCAAGGACGAAGAGCGGAAGAGAAGACCCACCTTCAGTCTTGAGAATGTGCCAAGCACAAACGCAGGATGCGACGCATCCTCCCCAAATGCGATGCCTCAAGTGTACCTGTTTGACGATCGGTGCGCCATGCTTTTAGTTGATGTCCAGGTTCTTCATCTCAAACAGATGCCTGTCCTGATGTGGTTGATGCGAGCTTAGTATAGTTCCATCAGACACGCTAGGGTGTGCTCCGTTTCCATGACTCTTCCTTATGTAAACTTTACCCTCTAAACGCAACAATTTCGGACGGCGCGCAAAAGGTATGCTAGGTAGCTCACAGCAGAATCTAAAATCCGGGTGGCTCGCAAAAGGATCAGAAGGTATGTTCCGTTTCCATGGCTCTCGCCCTGCGCTCACAAAAAGGCGGGCCACATTTCAACACTTTTGCGCTCTGCGTTTTACTGTCAGGCGGCTCACAGCAGCGTGCCCTCCTACGACTTTACCTCAAATGGCTCACGCAAGGTATGCTACGTCTCTTATTCCTTTTAGTTTGGCCCTCGGATGGCTTGTTCGAGAAAGGTATATACTACTACTCCTACTACTTCTACTACTACTACTACCACCACTACTACTACTACGACGACGACCACCACCACCACCACCACCACGACCACCACGACCACCACGACCACCACGACCACCACGACCACCGCGACCACCACGACCGCCACGACCACCACGACCACCACGACCACGACGACCACGACGACCACGACGACGACGACCACTATACGACTACGACTACGACGACGACTACGACTACGACGACGACTACGACGACGACTACGACTACGACTGCCACTACGACTACGTCTACGACTACTACGACTACTACGACAACGTATACGACTACGACTACTACGACGACTACTACTACGACTACTACTACGACGACGACGACGACTACTACTACTACTGATACTACTGATACTACTAGGACTACTACTACTACTACCACTACCACTACCACTACCACTACCACTACCACTACCACTACCACTAC